TTGCTCAGGCTGGTCTTGAACTCCTGAGCTGAGGTGATCCACCAGCCTTGGCCTCTCAGAATGCTAAGATTATAGGCATTAGCCACCATGCCCAGCCTAATTTTTATTTTTAATACATGCTCTTCTGTATTGTATTATTACCATGACTTTGGTTAGTCAATACTAACCAAAATTACTATGACTTTGGTTAGCTCAATACTAACAAATGATTGATTTAGAGCAATTATCTCATAAACCATAACAATAACCAAAAGTAAAAACTATTATTATCCTCATTTTTCACATAAAGAACTTCAAAGGTAGAGTAAGTAAACTGCTTGAAATGAAGCTGAAGCCCATAGTTCTTGTATATATAAAAACACACTGGCTGTAATCAAGTAACTAAATGATCTGGGAAAGTTTCTGTGCTTTAAAGCAGGCATCCTCAAACTACGGCCTGCGGGCACATGCAGCCCGCCTAGGACATTTATCTGGCCTGCCAGGTGTTTTTGCCGCCACTGCCTGTCCTACTTAGCAGCCGACTCGTCCTGGGGCCCGCAGTCCAACCCTCCAACGGTCTGAGGGACAGTGAACTAGCCCCCTGTTTAAAAAGTTTGAAGACTCCTGCTTTAAAGGCTATCTACCTGAAGTTAACCCACATGCTGTGTTCATCATACCAGAAGCAATTTAACTCCTCTCATATCCCACCAGCCCGAGGATAAGACATCAAAGTGCAGAATTCAAGAAATGTAAGCATAGCAAACACCAAGCAATAATAATTATAAGCTACAAACCATGAGATCATTTTATTTATAAAGATAACAGATCATAATTAGGAGATACTAGCATAAGATATTGGGTATCTAAGAGCATAACCTAATAATGAACTCTGATCAACATTTCTAGCAGCAACTGGATTTTTCCAATCACCACTAATTTAGCTAGTTATGGCAGGCACTGGCTAAGCTAATGAGAAGCCACAATAGACGCTAACATTTGGTTACTGCAATACAGATTACACTCTGTACAGTTGCATAACTTTCCATGTGTACTCTCAAAAAGACAATTTCCCTTTTAGCTTCTAGGGTTATTATAACAAGAAAAGAAGTCAAGTTCAAGTACAGAACAGTGGAATCTTCCTTTCACTGAAATTTCACAATAAGATGCATTCACAAAAGATCTACTTATTAAAATCACCCAGGACAATACTGGAAGTTTGTCAAAATAGAGAGGATGGTATTCTTTTTCACCTGGACACTTTAAGGTACCTGGAGCACTCAATAGCAACATAAAAACAATTTATAAAAAAGAACATGATGCTTAATACCCATTATGTTTCCAAATTTAAAATAAAATGCTATATCCTGTGTCTATAAAAACAAACCCCTTAATTTTTTACAGGTGTTAGCTCTTATTTTAAGAGTGCTAGCAACAGTAACAAAGGCCTTGAGAATGGCTAGTTTTCATTAACTATGGAATCTAACCTCTTTTTGTTGCGAAAACATAAAATAATGATTCCTAATATTATTTACTGAATGTTCTTTAAAAATATTGCTTGAAATTTTACATTCACAGAAGAATTTCTAAATCTGAAATGTGAATGTCTACCCTGCCTGCCTTCTGATAAAGTTTCATAAGTGCAGGGACATCAACAAGTAGTATATTTTGCTGTGTACAATGGCAAGTTTTGAGGGAAAATAAGGGTGTGTATCATAAATGGTTGGTAGTACAGCCAGGAGCTGGGGAGCCCAGTGGGCCTCTTGAGGTCACCTCACCCTCCCACCTGGACCCCCAGACACATGGGGTTGCAGTCATGGAGGATCTGGGATCCAGTGGGAGCAGGCTGAAATGGCCTCTGCCAAAAGCTGTGATCAGGAGAGGAGACACTGGCAAAGCTGACAAGGCAGGCCACTGCCACAAGAGCCAAGGGCCAAGGCCTGGCTGCATGGAGGGGACCCAGACCTCTGCTCTCCTTCCCCTCTGCCCCAGCCACCTGTCTGGCCATCTCAGTCACAGCCCCTAACATGGTAGGGAGGAAGGACTCCTGAGAGAGAGGGAAGGGACAGCCTTCCCAGAATGAGCAGCCTCAGGAAGGCAGTGTGACCTGCACACTGACCAGCAGAGCATCAGCCTTCCCCAGATGTGTTTTCTCCTAGCCAAGAGACAGTCGCTTTCTTGAAGGGGATGTTCCTGAAAGTTCAGGCCCAAAGTGCGGGTGTACACTATACACAGGAGCATATTATACATTGCAAAATATGGCAGTCAGGTGAAGGAGAATCAACAATGCCCTCAAAATCCTATGGTGAGTTCATTACATATTAAAAACATTAGCTGGTCCGAGTGCAGTGCTGTTCACAACTAACTGATCACAACCAGTTACAGATTCCTGTTCCTTCTCCACTACCCCTGTTCACTTGGCTAGCCTTAAAAAATGCCAATATTTTTTGCAGGAAAACAAAACCAGACTGGCTTATAATTAAATGTCAAACAAAATAGTTAACCTTAGCTACAATAACAATTAGTTCTCTTGGTTTAAATATTTAAATAACCACCAAATGAGTCACAGAATCACTGAAACTTAGAAAAGAAGGTTCCTTCAAGTTACTTTATTGCATGCCAACCAAGGAACTTCTGTTTAACTATTCACAGACGCTCATAATTTTAGCCACATAAATTTTGAACCCATCTAGAAAAATGGCTTTCTTGTTTGTGATTTTACTTTTTAGAGTAAACAGAAGTCAAGTTGTCCACATCAAAAATAATTTGGAAAACCATTTTAATACACAGCATATGTGCATAAAAACTAAAATGTACTATATTTTAAAAGACTAGAAAGCTACAAAAATTTTTTTATTTAAGTATAATTATATATTGTTATGGTACAAACTATTGTGATTCAGGGAATTTAGAATGCATGACAAATGAAATCTATAAAACAGAGCAGTAACAAAAATACTAATTTTTAAAAACCTCAAAGGGCAAAATAAAAAGAAACACCACCTTTACAAAAAACCAAATCTTTATAAAGTCTGAAACATTTACTTAAGTCACCGCGAAGGGGCTAAAATTAAGGAAAAGAGATATTATAATATTTAACAATTCTCAAAACCTTCTGTTAAATGAATTGTCTTTTTTATCCAATCTATGCTTTCTTAGACTTTATGTCTAATAAGATAACCAAAGAAGATGTATAAGTGTAATTTAATCAGTATTTACAGAGGAAAATCGTATTTCCTTCAAACTAGAATGTACATATTTCCGACATTCCCTTGTACAAAATCCAAATATAATAAGAAAAACCATTTCTCAAAATTAAAATTGTTATAACTGTCTTTCATTTCTTTAGATAAATATTGAGTTATTGTTCACATTAGCAATGCAAAGACTATAAACAATTTTAAAGGATGTTTAAATAAACACCTTTTAAAACTGAGATAAAATTATAAAAAATTATTCCTACATTTTTCTCTTCAAATCCTGGCAAATACCCAATGGGATAATAGAGCTCCCTTTGAACTACTGTAATCATCACAAGTCACTGTTGTGTAGTGTGTGAGTTTTAAACCAGCAGAGATTCTGGCTATGGCTCAGTGCCATGGTCTTAACAATTTGCCCATTGTTCTCTCGCCTTAGTGTGAAGCCACTGTACAGGAGTAAGTCATGATGGTGAGACACCAGTGAGTGCCTTGGCTCAGTACTGTCCTCAGCA